GGCGGAAGTAAATTTTTGTCTGTCTCTAAGCATTTCCCCAGAAAGCACACAGGTGTACATATGTGGTCAAACCTCCATAAAATGATGGGTTGTATTTGGACTGACCCCTTCTAATAAATCAGCCAAAGAGTGTGTTTGTGGGATTTTGTTCTATTTGTTTTTTTTTTTTGATAATTATAGAAAAAGTTACCATTAGTTAGAATTAAAAGGACCCACCCCCTCCACCCCGAGCTCACGAACATTAGGCAACTGGGTCCTGTTTATTTTTTTTTTATACAGTATGCCATAATTAGATTTACAGGACAATATATGAAAAACTACACAGTTTCTGATATGTGGCATGTCGTGCCGAAATGGTTAAGTTGTCGCACAGGCCAGTATTGAGTAAGTGAGCTTTAAAATATCGGAGCTCAAAAAATTGCCAAAAAATCCAAATGTGTTTTTCACTACAAATCAACATCTTAATGTCTTGTTAATCATGTCCCAAAGTATTAGTTCTGAAAGTGGTCAACAAATCGTTTATTTTATGTTATTTTGATGGTTAATTCTATTAAACAATGTATGCACAAATAACTTTGAAAGGCAATTACTCAAAATCATCTAAGAGTGCTGTACTTTCATTTTCAAATAACTTAGGCTTGAAATGTCCAATTTCAATGAATGACCCCTCATTTTAAAGATCACATACTCGGGTATCTGAAAACACCAATAACTTGAATTTCATTTTTGCTACAACTTAGCCATTTTGCCACAACATGCCTCATATGTACAGTATATACCAGAAAACATAACTCGTCATTGGCAGAGCTTTTACATGATACCAAACACGACAACTTTTTTTGTGTCATGTGACTTTATATATTGGTCTATATCGCTGTAAATATGTAGGCCTATTATGTTGTTTAGGTGTATGACAATAAATGATCAGTGTATAATTCCCTTTCCATTGACACCAATCATGACCATGTTTTATGTGGTGCGTCAGCCATCTTGAAATTCAAAATGGCGGCCGATGACGTTGGGACAAAAATGGCACCTAACTTGTTTGAATTCAGCGCAGTAAAAATGATAAAATTAGTCAATAAAATCTATTTTTGCACAAAAATCTATCTGGATTACATAGAAAACTGTACTAGTAGCTTATACTAGTTCCTATTTTATGTACATTTTAAGTATATTTTGCGATTATTTTAAAACAAATAAACACCTATTTTTTAATTATGTTCTGGCTTGAGTGACAGTAGTTTTTATATGTCTAGTTTGTTGCCTGTCTAGAAATTATGAGTCTAGACACCAAAATCATAATATCTGTAGCTTATTTAGTTCCAATTTTATGCACATTTTAGATAAATTTGGCAGCCATTTGGAAAAATGGCCACCATTTGTATACAAGGCATAAAATCAAGTGTCAACAGGGCTTAGGGTGAGCAGAAGGGATTAATTGGGATAGCTGGCTACTATGTGGATTGCTTCTAACATTCTACTGAGCCCTCTAACTCATTTTTTCCTGATTTTTTTTCTAGTCTATGGCCACAATGTTCCTTTAGAGCTGATTAAATTTTGAAGGTTCAAAGGTCAAGGTCACAATCAACAAAAACTATTTTTTTTTAAATTTGTCTACAGCCCATATTTCACAATTTTCCATGACCAAAGACCTTGTTACCTTCACCAACTAAGTTGTCAGGAAGTTATGTTTTTGCCTCATGTTTATTTATTTGTCTGTCGGCATATTTGTTGTGAACAGCCTACAGCCCATTGTTTTTATCAGAAATTCGTCAACCTTGGCCACAATGTTCCTTTACTTAAGATCTAAAGCTGATTAAATTTTGAAGGTTCAGGGTCAAAGGTCAAAATAGACAAAAAATTATTTTATTTTATTTATTTGTCTACAGCCCATAGTTTTAAATAAAAATTTGTCAAACTTGGTCACAATGTTACATGACAAAAAGATGTGTTTTGTGATGTACAGCATATTGATCTGTTGATACTTAAGTGAATGAGGTTTTTGAATTAAGTTGAAATTATTATTATCTTTAGAGGATCATTTGATCAAACAAATCCAACAGTCTAGTAAGTTGAAACCTGAAACTGACAGCTACGAAGACCACACGTCGATTATAATATGTTAATATAATTTACTAAACATCAAATCTTACAGGTGACAATGCATATTGTCATCTTTGACATGATGTTTTGATCAATATTCTCAACGAATGCAAAAAATCAGTTTATTAATATGTCGTTGGCTTTTCATAAAGGGCCAAACAATTGGATCGTTATTTTAGAGGCCTACGTCCTATCATGGCCACATTCTGCCTGTCATACTTTAAATAGCTTTGGGTAAAATGTACAAACAAATTGTGCTTGATATGACCTGAGACAACTGTCTCATGTATAACCAAGGTATACTAGGCCCAGTGCTGTGTTAGTGTGTGTCACCTATGCACAGAAAACATGCAAAAAATTGAACTCAAACACTCGTAATACACAAATTTAGTTTTAAAAAAATGATGACGACAAAATTTAGAATCATTTAGCAATAATTTTATATAAGTTAACCCACATTAAATTATATATACAGTAGACCAAGTTCCGATGAGTTTTTTAAAAGTATATCTTATTGGATTACTGTGTAAAAGACACTGCTTGAGTAGTGCTTAGATAATACAGGTTTCCCTGCAATTAAAGAACACCATCAGTTAAGACCACTCAGTTTTCAGTGGTCTCAAATTCACAAATGTTTTTTAACGTTATTAGATCAAAACTACTGAAGCTCATGGCAACCCCAGTTCCAAAAGTGGTCTTAATACACTTTTTTTTTTATAAGAACACATTTTATAATAACACTGAGGCTGAAATTGCTTAAAAATTAAGAACAAAATAAGAACAAATTAAGGCTGAGATAAAATGTCAAATGAGGTTTTTACGTTAAAAAAATAAATAAAAAACCAAAAAATCTTATCTGTATCTCATTTGCAGTAGGTGTGACTATGTAGGCCTAATTTTTTTCTTTTTTTATTTATTTCAAAATATCTACAAATCACATTCAAAACCGAATTGCTTGGGATTTACATAGAGCATAATTACAAAAAAGACAATCATATAAAAAGACAATCATACAAAAGGACAAATTCAGAGATTAACAAAATATTAATAAAGAATAAAAATGAGGGAGATAAATATCATACAAATTTTGAAAAAGAAAGAGGTATATAAAAAATATTACAATTATTAAAAAACTACAAATTTCAAAAACAGTAGAACCAGTATAAAAAATTGCACATAGATTAAAGGAGATGATAAAAATAAAAACATTATTCAGCAGCAAAATCGTACACTGGTGAATAGAACTACTCACAGAAGGTCTGTATTTCTAATTTAGTACTGTGTGTATGTAGTATTCCGCAAATTATTTAAAACTCTAGTAAGATATGGAATTGCACTATTGCGATAACGATTAACTTTAGCACGGGCTCAATAAATTTATTATGTTTTCTAAAGGCCAACTCAGACAGCGTCATACGACACAGTTCAACGTGATTTGTTGTCGCATCGGGTCTTTGTGAGTTAAACGCAGACGCGATGGTGTGCGTCGGGGGCAGTCGTGTCGTAGAATATTAAACATGTTTAATATTTTTATCATGACTGCTCAAGACTCTCACCGACGATGAATCACGTCGGGCTGCATCGTTCGACGCTGTCTGAGTTGGCCTTAAGAGACATTCCGTAAGTGGAGTTGTTCACCATAAACCACCAAGAGAAGTGGTTCTTACTTAAACACTCAATTGCAAGTTTAGAACATAACATATAATACCCTCCATAATGCAGTACAGTAATATACTGCTGTACGTACAGCAATAATTTCCTATGTTTGAAAAGTGTATAAAAATAACAGAACACAAAAGAACATTTTGAGCCTGAAACGGGCAAAAAAATAAGAACAGTGAATCTGGGCAAAATTTTACTGGTTCTTATAAAAAAAAAAGTATATTGTTACAGTATATAGTAGTAATACATATTTCCTCAATTTTGTTTTCAACCAACCATGCTGATAATGTATGAAGGCCATCTTTATCATTAATTTATCATTAGTGTATCATAGAGCAAAGTCTTTGCACTATGGTTTTATTCATAATGTAATGTTAGCACTTGTGTTACTATGTGTTTACACTTCCCTTGAGTATTGTAATTAATACAATCCAGCATGTTTAGCAAAATCTGAAGATCTAAGTTGATGTTTAACACCAAAATTGCACTTAATTTAATTCTTATCAAAATTAATAAAGTTTTAGAACATTCGTGTTCTTTATAATTTCAGCTTTCAACTCAAGAGGCCCTCAGCATATTGTTTCCTCTTGGACAGTTTTGTCAAATTTTTAATAAATAAATAAATAAATTTTCTTTTAATTAAATCAAACATAAGGTCAGAAATATAAAATAAAATTCAAAAATAAGGAAAAAATCCTGATAATAATCAAGAGTAGGGGATTGTCTCCCAGTACACTGCTCAATTCACAACCAGAAGGACCCCACTGGAAACAAATCTTTAGACTTAGTGGGTTATCATTGGTATGTTTTACACCAAAAATACTCCTATTTATGCAACCAAAAAAAAATTAAATTTTATTTAGAAGTTCAGAAAATGTGGTATGCAAAAAATTTTTCTTGATTTATTGAAAATTTCAGTTTTCCTAGGTTTGATAATTCGATCCATATATACCTGAGATTAATCCAGCATTTTCATGTTGCATGAAAAAAATAATAACAAAAAAAGGGAATGTGATAACTTCCACAGCTCTTTGGAATTTTATGACAAGATTTTCATCTTATGACAAGAATGTTTATGAACAAAATTTCTATTTTTTTGGACGATAAATAATCTTGAATCAACGTATATGAGTGTCTGTGTTTAGACTACTTCTGTTATCACTTTATTATGGGAAAAGGAACTAAAATTATCCTGACTTTATTTCAAGATTTCAACACAAATTTTTACTAACCTGTGGGGTATGTGTAGAACACGTGAGTTGCCTGTAGGACGAGGTTCCTTGGTTCGTTCTTCCCATCCCTTTGTCATGCGGTACAGGCGTGTAGGGTCCCTATCGACATTAACTGCAACCTGCGAACATCACAATTCATTGTAAGGTAGCTGATATCACAAAGTGCAAAAATGTCAATACTGTATGCTGAGCTTACAACAATGATACAAATACTACATGCAGTACTGAATTCTACTTTTGTCATTGTTGGACGATAGCGACTACCTCCCGATGCAGAGTGAAAGGGTAGTCCCAATCATCCAACAACAAGAAAAGTAGAAATCACAGCTTTACTGAAATAAAACCATGTTGTATTTGAGGCATGTTGTGGCAAAATGGCTAAGTTGTAGCAAAAATTGAAATTCAAGTTATTGGTATTTTCAGATACCTGAGTATGTGATCTTTAAAATGAGAGGTCATTCATTCAAATTGAACATTTCAAGCCTAAGTTATTGGAAAGTGAAAGTACAGTACTCATAGTCAAGATAAACAGGATTTTGAGTAATTGCCTTTCAAAGTTATTTGTGCATACACTGTTTAATAGAACGAACTATGAAAAATAACGTTAAATAAACAATTTGTTAAACCGCTTTCAGAACTAATACTTTGGGATATGATTAATGAGACATTAAACTGTTGATATAGAGTGAAAAACAAATTTGGGTTTTTTAGCAATTTTTTGAGCTCCCATATTTTATAGCTCATTTAGTCAATACTGGACTGTGCGACAACTTAACCATTTTGCCACAACATGCCTCATTTGTTTGATTGTACCTTATAAATTTTAAACAACAAACTGTCCATCTACATTAGCCATTTTGATCTGTGAGGGTAAAATTACACAGTTTGCATGTGGTTCACATAGGTGGGGAAGCAGATGTTGATTTTTGGTAGTACTTTTTTCCCAAGTTTTGTTATTGGATTCACACTATTCTATTTTCGATCTTTCCATGAACAATTGCCTCACCACAGAATGTTCTAGGCTGGTTGCCACCCAGACATTTCCCCCGGTATTTTTTTAATGTTTGTATAATTATTATAATCCATGTCTTCAATAACGCTATAATATAATGATAATAATAACAATAGAAATAACAATAGTAACAACAACAATAACATTAAAAATTTAATAACTATAAAGAGCAAATGTAATAACCTTGTTTATTCTGTATGGATAATAATTTAATGATAATAGTAACAATAAGAATAATAAAAAATTTAATAAAACTATAAAGAGCAAATGTAATAACCTTTTTTATTCAGTACGGATAATAATTTAAAGACAATGTCAGGGGGAGGGGAATGTAGTGGGAAGTGTTCAGGGAGGGGGAAATTGTCTGGGGAGCAACCAGCCTGCTTCCATTATAAACACTGATGCATATGACCCTGTGACCACAGGTGATGGCACAATGTTTTGCTCAAGGACTTCTACTGACTGAGTTAGGTCAACTCAGGTCAATCACCACAAGCTAGGTTCATATGGGATTATAGCCAGATGAAGTAGCTGATCTACTTGCCAAGTTAATTGGATTAAATCCGCTAATCGCGTTCGACGTTAAGGTTTAGAGCGAGATATTTTGACTACCAGAAATTCGAAAAACACATCATTAGACTGGAAGTACAATCGCATGGTGGGTAATTACTGTTGATTTTCGCGCGACTAGTTTATGCTAGATCGAGACTATAGGCGTAAGCTAGGCCTAGGTCTCGGCGGTTGATTATACTGGCCGAGGAGTCCAGCTGGAGGGTTTACACTGGGTTTTCCCCCAAGTATTTCGTTTAGTGCGTGGTAGTGTGGGCAAGCCGATTTCGGGTCATCCCTTATTACATTGGCCGACCCCTTGCCCGTCCCACGAATAAAAACGTCTCTCATAGCCTTGTGGTTTGCTCTTAGATTTTTCAACTTTGTCACAACAATTGCCGATGTTATGCTATTGTGGCCTAAGTCCCGCATTCTCTCTGCTATCCTTTCGTGGACACCAGCCTTCTGACGATACAATTTATCTTCAACTTTTTCGGCGATTTCTGGCTCCCTCCAGATGTCTATTAAATATTCCTGCGCATACGTCAAGAAATGGCGTTTATTTAATGACTTTTCGGCCATCATTTGCAAAATAAGACTTGTTGAAATTAAAGTACACAGATCAGGGAGACTGCGTCAATTCTGAATGGTGTTTATGACAGTAACTAAAAAATGCACTAACCAGCAAGCATGGAAGGTCACTTTGCTTAAATTTGATTGGTGTATTCGTGACCTGTGGCCACCCGCTGTTTAATTGTTTACTGGCTTTAGGCTGGATTAAGAAGTTAGTCGACATAAATTTACTCGACGGGCTTAGTCGAGTTGTGGCCTTCATCTCGCATTACTTGAGCGGTCATACTCAAACTTATGGCGAGATCATCTAGCTCATCCACTAAAATTATCTCGCCATAGTTGGATATGAACGGGGCTACAAGCCAGACTGGTGGATCTCAAGTCAACCCAGCTGAGCTGTAACCATAGCCTGGTAATATTTATTATTAATGACACTCAGACATTGATTTTGTATTATGCAAGTCTCTTTTTGTCAAACTGATCACATGTTCGAATATCATGAAATGAATGAAGAGCCTTGCCTTTATAAAAATTAAATTGATTCTTTGTTTATATTCAGGTTTATGTGTCTATATTTTAGGCCAAATTAAAAAACATTACTAGTTTCTAATCCCTTTTCGCATCCATTTTCCCTGCCTCACCAAGTTTTTTTTTTTTTTTTTTTTTTAATTTCCTTTATTTTACTAAATGTAAGCAAATCTGGCTAGTACTTCTGTTATTTGCTTTCAGTGTGTCTACTTGGTAAAAGTGAGAAAGTAGTAGCTATATTTTTTTCTTGTTCATGTGATCCACTAGATCAGTGCTTCACAACTGAAAGTACTGTTGTCATGTTAAATGCAGAGTAAATATTAAGTAAATAATACAGGTAGTCAAGTAGCTGTAAACAATGCCCAATGTGACAGACATAACTGTGCCTATTTTATTGAAAATCTGGCTTCCTTGAGCTCATAGTAATGAACAATTTAGCAACAATGATAAACAATAATACCTAATATTATCTTAATAATAATAGCTATAAATATATAATGAATATAATAATAACTATACTATATATAACAAATTGTAAAAATAGTACTTTCTATCAACAAAAAATATCAATAAATTTATATATATTATTACAATTATTATTATTAATAATTATAGATATTATTACTATATTACCATTATTTATTAATATTATTATTATTATTATTATATAGAAATAATCTTAATTTTTGGAAAGCAGTACTTAAAACCACTGTTGAATTGTGGTATATATGATATTAAATATAATATTGAATATACTATGTATAAAAATATAAGTACATTAATGACATAAAACAGTACTTTCTATCAACAAGAGAAATTATATCTATAAATTTATATTATTATTTCCATTATTATTATTATAATATTTATTATTACAGTAATTGGAAGATTGGGGGTTTGAGACTGATGCTCGTTGGACTGCTTGTGTCCTTGGGGAAGACATTTTATCTGCATTTGCCTCTCTTTACACTGAAATTAGTAGTGCTGATTACACGCATAACTAGCAATACTCCCCAGGGAGTGGAGGAGGTTGCGTGTTGTGTATGATTGATTCTGTATCCAGCGACCAGGGAAAAAGAGCCTTGAGCAGATTTCTGGATATGTGTGCTATATAAATCCAGTAAAATAAAAAAAAATTTTTATAAATAAAATAATTATTTCTATTGTTTTATATATATATTAATTTTTTGGAAGTCAGTGCTCAACACCAAAAGTGATATAGCTAGTACGATAAGATATTAAAGGAAATAACAATAAGACATATTTTACTTGCATGATTGTTATGCAATGGTTGTGAAATCATCAAGCGATGCGTACAAATGAGAAAGGGGTGGTGTAGGAAGTCTGTAATGGAATGGAAGCAGTTAAAGTAATATTAATAGTAATAAATACGATTTATATAGCACACATATCCACTTCAGAAATTGCTTAACTCAAGGCTATGCAAATGTTTGGTCAGTAGTCTCTTTTTTGTTGACGGCAGGCAGAAATTAACTTAATTACACACTTTTTTTATTCAGCGCAATGCGATACTTTTTTACAGCATATATGTTACACTTACTGTAGTGATGATACTTTTTTTAAGCATATATGTTATAACACAAAGTGATGGTAAACAGGAGTGCTTGTTTGACTGTGTAATTGGTACATTTAAAACATCATCTAGAAAGCAGAACGACAACAAATAGTACATTTGTCTAAATCAAGAAAACGTTCAAGTACGGATTCATTGCACATAAACACTCTTTCAACCACGGGAAATATTAGAATTGCAAAGTACATTTGGGAATTATTATACTATTGAGTAAGGCCCTATACAAAATATTATTAGTTTATCACCCTATCTGGGCAGGAAAAGTGATGAGAGAGGGAGGCTTTTTTTAAAATTTTTTTATTTTGCTAAAGCCAAATATTACCCTTGTTGGGTTGTTTGTTGGTGCATTAATTCAAAGTAAAACATGATTTAGATAATGCAAACAATATCTACTAACTATTTAATAAAATAAATGAAAAAAATAAATAAATAAAATTTTAAAAAAAAAATTTTTTTTTTTTTCAAAACAATTTTTTTTTTCCAGTACCATAGAAGACATGCGGGGGTGATAAACTAATAATTTTTTTTATTGGGCCTTAAACAAGTCAAACACGTGCTAAAGAGGACTGTTTATTTATCTATATTATTTTCCTTATTATTATTAGTTTTTTATGAGGGAAACTTACAATTATTTACAATATTTGATAACATTTCATTAATGTTAAAACAGTACAGGGCCAGGGGTGGCGCCAGGACCTGCCTGACGGGAGGCTAAAGGCCCCGACGGGGGGGCTAGTGGAGCGAATCAAGTCTCACTTGGCTGGGGGCCAGGGGGGCCGCCTAGGACCCCCGGTGGGGGTCCAGGGGGTTTCGCCCCATGGAAGCTACGGATATTTGATGAATTATGGCGAATTTTTATTACTTATTTGATAGGCATCGAGTTGCTATAATATGACTTCATGTAGGCTATGCTTTCTAATGTTGACACCAGCTTCCAAAACCAAAACATTTTGAATAAAGCAAGAAACAAAGAGTATGCAATGTAACCCTCTAATTTATTTTCAAATCCTCATTCTTGAAAGTGAAATTCTATATTTTGGAAATTTTGCATGAAATCTGTCAACCACGTTGTCATGGTCGAGGTTGCTTCACCTATCACGATGTATTCCAACCATCATGAGGCTATTTAAATGAGCATTTGTCATAACAGAACGCAAATTATTTTTAATTAGTCTCATTGAATTATTATTATTATTATTATTATTATTATTATTATTATTATTATTATTGTTATTATTATTATTATTATTGTTATTGTGGTTGTTGTTGTGATGAAAAGTTAACACAAACGATATGGTGGCTAAACGAATATTACTTGTAAATATTTTTTTTTATTTGTTTGTTCCCCGACAAAATTTATCGTCTTCCCTGACGGGGGGCTATGCTTCCCCGACAGGTGGGTGGCTATAGCCCCCAGCCCCCCTTCTGGCGCCACCCCTGTACAGGGCTAGAAATAAATTTACAGCACCCAATGTTTCATGTGCTAAGCACCTTTTCTAAAAGTTGAATAACCAGAAAAGATGTTATACTGGTCGCCGGAATGTGTTTAATCACTCATGAATGGATGTAAGTAATGTTATGCTTGAATGAATACACTTGAATGCGCTTGAAACATTTTCAATGTTATATTTTCATTATTTGTTATTATTTATTAACATCATTAATAATCATTTTCATGCCAGAAACCCCACCATTGCCATCACTATTGTTTTCATTGCATCATCATCTCCCATCTTATTCATAAATTATTATCATTACTAAAATCAATAAAATATAACTCACTGTTTCCTTTAACCTATGTAACCTCTGTTCCTTTTCTTGAGCCGCAAGCTTCTTTTGTTTTTCCTTGATAATTTTCTTGTTCAAGTTTTTTTGGTCACGTTCTTGAAATCGGAGGATCTCTTGCTGAGCATATAGTCTGCGTTCAGCTTCTTTTTTCTCCTTTTCTATTTCTCCTTCTAGAATCCTTTGTTCCTCTATTACTTGCTTTTGTTGGATATATGATTCCACCTTTGTTTTTACTTGGATCTAAAAATCATTTATAAATAATAAAGTATCTATATACAATATTATTTACAATAAAACTTCAATAAAAGATATTAATAAAATATTGGAATAAAAGCGCATCTGTGTTTGTGTTTAAAAAATAATCTTTTGTGCTGAGATAAACTTGAATTTATATATGGTAAAATCGGGGGAAAACATTTGGAAATTTGAATCCAATGTGAAACAGATTCAACCAATTTGTTAGTATAGTACTCAATGATATAAGCTTTTTATTACAAATATCCCTAAGTTTGCATGGAAAGAATATAGGACATTATAATTTTAGTGAGTCTATTGATTGGTGACTCAAATATTTTCTCATTCATGTTTTCAAAAATGATAATAAAATACTCTAATGAGCAATTCAAATATACAAAATACTATCGATTTTTAAGCTCAGTACTGATGGAGTACATAATAATATTATTATGAGTCTCCCTCTCTCTTTAGCTGATACGTAATATTTAATTTTGACCCTGCATCCATTGCCAGTTAAAATGTAGAAAACTTGACCTCTCCATTAATGACAGTGGTGAAATATAGCCTTCTGAATACATGATGTTAGTATAATCTATATTTAATATCTTTTTGTATACTACAGTTTTAAAATATCACAACCTTGTGAAAGAACACCTCTTTTAGCTGAACAAGTTTTAAAGGTATATTTTAAGTATATTTTGGTGAATAAATAAAGCTTTAAATTGATAGAGCTACTGTTTTTTGGAAGTGACAAAGAGAATTACGTTAATGAAGATAATATCTATCTTGTGGCTCTCATATTCATTAGTTCAAATTAAACAGAAAATTTAATCCATTAAACTATTCACATGGAAAATTGAATTCCCATCCAATTCTGTTAGTTTGAAAACACCTATTGACATTGTTCCATTTCAATACATTTGTATATTTGACAGATGCATAGTTAAAATAAAGGCAGAATATTAACATTATTATGGTCAGGGAAAGTTAAGTCATTGTGAGACTGCAGTCCCCTTAATAAGTAACATTAAAAATACAATTAGGTCGAGTTTGCTCGTTACTTCCATTTCAGTCTATCTGACATGACATTACTATCGTTAGTTTACTTAAAGTATCCAATAAATAATGTAAATATTATATATTCATTTTGATGTTCAAAAGTCCAAGTTTCATGAAGAATTATATACTATAAAACTTATACACACAATACAAAGGGAGCGGCATCAATAAAACATATAACAAACCTGTCTCATCCTTTCTCTCTCCCTTTCCTTTTCTCTTTTAAATTCTTCTTCATGTTTTTTCTCTTCTTCCATTGCTTTCTCCAATTCTTTTTGAACCTGTATTATAATAATAACATTAACACTCCCGCCAGGGATTTGAAAAAATAGTATCAGCCACCGCCAGAATTTTTAGCAAATTTTAACACTTTTCCGAAGCTCGTTGAGTGTGCGTATGTGGACAGATCGACATGTAGTGAATACTACAAAAACTACAAATATTTTAGCTTTACAATGGTACCGAACACTTTATTCTAATCATAATCTGTGACCCATAACAGTAAAATGAAAATGACTCACTTTTGGAGATTTACGCAGTTTTGCACACGAAGCTAATATTATAATCGCGATTTCGTGAATGTAAATCACTGCAGCTCTACACTAATGAAAACAAACAAATAATGAAATACTTATGGTCCAGACCGAATATAGTGTTCAAATTGTTAGTACATGTTGGTAATTACCCCATCTATCAGATTCCGTAAAAAAACCTGAAACACAGAGATTTCCATGTTTGGCCGTCAAGCGTTGCGTTACTAAACACAGAGATCTCCGTGTTTGGTGGGCAGAGTGTTAATAATAAATCTTACAATGACAATGAAAATGAGCTGTGGTATTAATAATCCATGTCCAGTCTAAATTGTTTGTAAGGCAAACAACATAAATTTTATATTTACATAATACCACTTTAATATATATTCATAATAATAGTTATAATAATCATAATTCTTCACTGTCCATTCATATAAAACAGAAATGTAATTTGAACTGGTATACTGAACATTTATAATATTAACATAATTACTACACTAAATTATTTGCAGCCATTATACAATATAAATTATATATATTTGATATTTATATAGTAACAGTTTAATAGATGTTTATTTCAATATGTAAATATGTAGATATTATGGGACTGTTTGATTACCTTCCAGGCATTCAATCTGCTTTGCCTTTCTTTACGTTCTTCTTCCAGTTTTTTCATTTTTGATTGTTGTTTCTTCACATTCTCTTCACTTTCCTCAGGTTCAACAACTGATAACAAATCATCTCGTTTAACCTACAGACAGAATACAATAGCACTCACTATGTAATAAATAATCTAAGTGAACAATATGTTAATATATAAAGTATATTGGATTAATATGAGACTTAAAAGTGTATACATGATGATATATAAAGTATACAGTACTGGAATAATAAGAATCTTGTTATTTTTAAAGTTTTTCTTTCAGTAATTTGGAATATCCTGTGATTTACAGGGAACACCTCAAACTTTAGTAAAAGAGCAGAGATAATTGATATCATTATAATTTGTTATCATCATTATGATTAAGATATTCATTATTATTGTTTACCTCTTTGTGTAATCTCCACTTCTCTATTGCTTCTTTCTTCTTGTCCAAGAATGTGATATATTGTTGGTACCAGCCTTCATGTTGTGTAATATCTGACACAGAGCGTATTGGTAATTCATTTACAGCTGCATCAATGAATGTTGATTTTCCCTATATTAAATAATCACAAAATTTGAAAAAAATTGTTGACGATAATAATGGTCATTCTTTCAGACAGAAATCTCCTCCATATGTCAGAAGTTTCCATACCAGTAAGCCTTGGAAACTTATCATTTCAAGTAATATTAAAAGTTCCTCAGGAGTTCAAACCTAATGCGCTTAAATATTTTCAGTTGCATGATTCAGTACATTCTATAAGCACCAGACAATCACAAGATAAAGAATTTTTAATAATAATAATAATAAAGTTCTTAACCGTTCTGAATCGACAGAACAAGTGGTTGTCATTGACTACCATACTATTTGACAAGCTTCAACTGTGCAAAACAAAAGGAGAACCCATACTTTATTTCTTTTCTTTCCTTTTCATTTCTTATGCTTTTTCATATATATCTCATTTTATCTTATCTTATCATTTCTTTCGTATCCTGATTCTTTCTTTCTTGTCCTTTTCTTTCTTTTTACCATTTCTTAGGTTGCTTTCAATAACCTTTCTTTTTCTTTCTTATAATTCGTTCTTTTCATTCCTTTTTCTTTCTTATAATTCGTTCTTTTCATTCCTTTTTCTTTCTCATATTTACTATTCTTTTCTTTTCTTTCATTTTCTTTCTTTTGGTTTTAATTCTTTCTTTCTATTTTTTCTCACACCTTTTGTTCTTGAATATCCTTTCCTTTTCTTTATTATGTTTCATTCTTTTCTTTCCTTTTTCTTTCTTATATTTTAAAAGGAAAAAAAGAATGAAGGTATACGTTCTGTAAAATGATTAATTAAACGGCTTCTACACTAAACCTATTAACTTCAAACTACAAAGTAAGATCTTTGTTCACAAACATAAAATTAATTATCTTCTACCTTATATCTTCCACGAATTTTCAAAAATGTCTGATGATCGTATTCGTCCCATTCCCCTCGATGGCCACCATTTTGTTGAAGGAATCGCTGTCAAATTTACAGAATTTCATACTATTACTGACCATTTCATTGATTATGATGGCACAACATCATCAGTAGTAGCAGGGATGCTGTATTTAAACATTTAATAAACATTATGAGTATGCCATTCACTTTACGAGAAGTACCGTACTCGCGCGAATAAGCGGCCGGGCGCTTAAAATATTTTTTGCACTTTTTGAGGGGCGTTTATGCAAATGGGGCGTTTATCAAAACAGAGTGGAAATTGAGGGGGGCGTTTACGGAAAATTGATGAAAATTGAGGGGTTGTTATGAAAACTTATTAAATTTACATTTTGAATGAAAAATGATTATATAAGGACATCAAGAAACCGCAAATTACGAATGAATGTGCGGCGGAGAAGATAATCGTCCAGAGAGCATGGCTTGTCATGACAAGAATGTTGTGAGTACAGTATTTCACAACAACAGAATAGCAGATGAAATTAGTGGTGGTGCTTAGCTTGTTGGCCATCGGCCTATTGAGAGCAGGATGGCATGATCATTGCCTTGCAGGTTTTGTTGAAAACTCAGATGAGAATGTGTTATGTGCAAATTGTCGGAAAAGTAGTAAGACTAGGCTATAGAAAAATGTAAGAAGATGAAAGTTGGGAATATACTGTCTGTCCAGGAAGCTCTCATCTGTCCAAGATAAATATCCTCATTTTGATATTGACTAAAGGAGAATGTGATTCCACTCCACACCTCAAATCATGCCAACATCCACAGGATTGAATTATTGAGAGGGGTTTATTCAAAGTAGAAGCGGGCGATTATTCAAACGGGGCACTTAAGGGAATTTTCACGTTACGAGGGGCGCTTATTCAAACGGGGCGCTTATTCGCACGAGTACGGTAACTGTTTTGGATTGTCTTTGCCACATTTTTCAATTTGTGTTATGCTAAGGTATGCTGCTTGATATGTCATTTTATATTGTACTACTTTATGTTATTGTGTTACGTAATGTCATGTCCTTATGGTATTTTATGCTATTATTGTAATATCTACCACTATCATTACTTACTTTAACTACTGATAATAATGATAGGAGTATAAAGAAACAAAAATGAAGTGCATTCAAGAACATCCAATTGAATACTTGCAATCAAAACATAAAATAGTGTAACAACCTCAAATGCAATAACATCTGGCGGAAGGTTCTGAGCGGCGTTGCTAGTAGTTGAACTGGATCGGTTTTTAGTTGTAGTACTGACTTTTGTCTTTACAACTGGAGCACTTGCAACTTGAGACCATGACTCAAACCTCTTCTCTAGAGCTGTCAATTCCTGACAACATATCTTTTCATCCCGCATCAGCTCCTCGTAGCTTTAATTCAAAGATGGCTCGGTAATAATATTATGTCACTCACATTCCCATACTCATGGGTAAGCTCGTGGTCTAATGGTTAAGACACCAGGCTAGTTATCTGAAGCTAGTGGGTTCGATTCCCACCCAAATCGCTTGCAAGATTTTTTTCGCAGGTATTTGGGATCTTACTGAGAATTCAGTACAATAACACATCAGGTAAAGGCAAAAAAACATCATCCTTAACTGTACTATTCTCCTGACGCAAACACTATCGGAATGCCCATAGCTCTTTTAATCTTATAATAGTCAATATTGATACAGACATTAAACAGTAATTTGTATTGTTTCATTACGTCAATGCTTGTTGAAAATATTAACATTCTGAGCCCTCTCATCTTGTGATTGGATACGATACATTGAATAGCCATGTATATGTCAAATTCACAATTGCCTATTTATGTGCAGCTATGACATACATATTTGAAAATGGCATTTCCGTTACTTCACATGCCAGGCTCAGGCAAACATCACAGTATGTATGTATTTATAGCTCAATTATTATTAATGGATGTAGCACAGTGTTATCATAATATTTGTAATACATTTGTAACCATCTGTAAACTACTAATGTATCCTAAACAAACTTAGTGTTACTATGAAGGAAACCTTTTTTTAAGTAGTATGCAGTAACCCTAGAAAATGAAAATGTCATTTGGAATCAACAGCACCATGCTTAGTTCAAAGAGAAGATTCATTCTGTGGGGCATTAACTTAGGGTGCGTTCGAGCCATACACGCCTATTAAATTCCGTGTATATGACAGGTAAACGCACAACTTTACACTACAGGGGGTCCCCCATTCGAGCACAAACTTATCTTGTCTAACCGTGTAAAAATTTACCCCGGAAATACTCGTTTGATGTCAGCGAGGCAATAGTATATCCCAACATGCCACGCAATATTTACGTTTCTAACCACGCTTCACGCACTTGTACTTCGCTAAATATTCGATTGTTATTCTGTATTAATTCACATTGTTCGACGAGATTTTGTTTATGATGGTGTTTGTTCCATAACAGCAGGTAATTTTACTGCCGTCCAACATCATCACCACGATGATGCGGGTTTATATTGATGGAATAAATGCTAAGAATGAGGCAAATCTTGCGGCTATGCGACACATGAGAAGGCGAAGAAGGGCCCGCCGACAGGCTGTTCTGCAAGCTGCCCTCGCTTACAATCAGCGACCCCCAGACGGTAGAGTCATTAAAACATGATTAATGGTCGCGATAATGGCGATACACGGTTCTATAACCCTAAATTTGGTGGTCAAAATAGGCGAGCGTGTTCCAGATGTTTTTTACATCTTACCCCCGTTTAATTTCAGAACGTTTGAGCTCAGCTAACAGTAGTTGTACAATAACCTACATAAATGTATAGTACAGTAATCAAATTTAGTTTTTGAAAACAAACAATTGTCATGCTTACATTGTTTTTTGATGCTCCTTAAAAGTGTTAATGTGGCTTTCCACATCTTCCATCATAACTTTGAGTTTTTCAACAACTAAGAAAACAAATAAAATCTATTTTTAAATAATTTATTTAGATTATACATGATTTCTGCAGTTACTATAATATATATATTTTCCATTACATAAACCTTTATTATTTTAATTATTAATTATTTATTTATTAATTTCTTCATTAAAGTACTGAAATACTAGTAACAAATTAACCAAATATCTGAAATAAACAATGTGCAATTTAAATTATTTCATATACTTACATTCAGGAGTTGGTTTGACATTTTGTAATTCTTTTTGAAAACGGTCGACCACTCCTCTCATTCGATTCAATTGCTGTTTTAATTTTGTTTCTTAAAGATTAAGGTGAAACAAAAAAGATGTTTTAACTTTCTACTGAACAATTCATTGTCATTAATATTTATAAATGCTGCCTCCTATATATTACTTTCTTACTATTACTTTATGCTACTTGAGAAACAAGTTGTTGTCTTAATATATGAGGCATGTTGTGGCAAAATGGCTAAGTTGTATGAAAAATTGAAATTTAAGTTATTTGGTATTTTCAAATATCTGAGTATGTGATCTTACCAAAGCATTGTAATAATAACATTTATAGATAATCATCAAACCAATCATTTGAACTTAATTAATTTTTCTTCTCTGTTGTTGTTAAGCGCCTCGAGGTTGTGTCAACGTGAGGTGCTATATAAATCCAGAATTATTATTATTATCTTTAAAATGAGGGGTCATTCATTCAAATTGGACATTTCAAGCCTAAGTTATTGATTTTAAGTAATTGCCTTCCAAAATTATTTGTGCATACGTTGTTTAATAGAATTAACTATCTAAATAAAATTAAATAAAAGATTTGTTGACAACTTCCAGAACTAATGCTTTGGGACATGATTAATAAGACATTAAACTGTTGAAATTGGATTTTTAGGCAATTTTTTGAGCTCTAATTTTTTTTATAGCTCATTTACTCAATACTAGCCTGTGCGACAACTATTTCGCCATGACATGCCTCATATAGTGTACAAACAATTATATACTCTGAAATGTCCACTGATTAATCATTCTCAGATAAGAAGGTATTGAATGCACGCCATCGTGTTGGGATTGAATATTTTGACAGTAATTATGTCAGCATCAGGAATTTCATTAGGAAATCCAACTGCTAATTGTGAGACTATTGCTAATTATGTATGCATAAGCGCTTTTCTATTTTTTACTTCACACACCTGATGAAACTGGCATTGACTGCCAGCGAAAGCTTGTGTTAAACAAATAACATCTAAGTTAGTCTCAGAGTGCTGCCTTTTAATTTTCTTTGTATATTGTTTAGACTAAAACAGCTTTATTACCACATTTATCATTAGGAAATTTAAATTTGGTCAATCATAATGTAAAACATAACATCTACAACTGAGAGCAATGTCCAAATGTGAATGCACTGAAGAAACATATGGTGTAAGGGAAAAGGGGTAAAGTGAATACAGTATGAAAAATGAAAAAAATTATGTATATATTATTAAAATTAAAGCAATAGTCAAGGGTAGAAATATAAACAATAACATTCCTAAGTACCTTAAAAATAGATTTTATGGACATACACAAGCTTATGCTAAAAGCTCAACAATGCCAAACAATTATTTTTAGAAAAGATGTTTATTTAGTAGAATCTGGAATGGACTTAATATCAAAACCAGAAATGCAACAAATAGAAAATTCATTAAGAAAAGTCTTAGTTTAAGATCAAATATCATTAAGTGTCGTTAAAGATCAAAATTTTATACTGTTTAAGATATTTTATTAAAATTTGTTTCATAAATTTTATGTATTAATTTCAAAGATAATGTCAGTATTGTATCAACACTATTATAACAATTGAATAAATTACTTTCTGCTTTCCTTTCTGTGTTAAGCTTCATTTCCATTTCCTCTAATGGACAATATTCCTTCCTAAAGTCACTTCTCTTGTTATAAAGGTGGGTGGATTTTTCACGCTCCATTGCAGTAATTCTGTGTTAAAATAATTTATAGATAAAAAAACAAAGTATATTCACACTACTTTAAAATTAATTATATAATATGAAAAAAAAACCATTAAATTCAATGGATAACACTGAAAGGTCCACTGATTAATCTCAGATAATAATAATTCAGGGACTCGGACTGAGGAGCTATACGGCCACTTGGTTTAAACCCCTTGTTGGTAAATTACTGGAGCCACTGCTGACCATTAAAAGAAGAGACAGAAAAAATACAATGTCATTATTTAGTATTCAAAGTATTTTAACCTTTTGTTTAGTTTGTGTCTTTGGTAGTCTAAGATCCAAGGATCAACATCTTTTTACAAGAATTGTTAAGCAAGCATCCAGAATTATTTGTGTTGGGCAAGCTCATCCGGATATTTTGTACAATAACTTAGTTTTAAAGAAAATCAACTCTACATTATCTGATCGTACTCATCCGATTTTAAATAAATTTTTGTAAATATATTACAACGTAAAATTAAAACTAACAGATATGGAAAGTCATTCATTCCTACTGCAATTAGATTTTATAATGTTTTAGTGTAACAATTATTTTTAACCTACAAACTGATTTTTAACTGAGAAATTCTGTTTTTATATTTGTCTATTTTTGTTGTTAACATGTTGTACGGTCAAGGCCAAATGGGTTTCCCCATTGTAGGATAATAAAGTTTTATTGAATTGAATTGAAACAATGATGAACTTTCTACAATAGATTATAAGGCAGTGGTTATTTTTTTTTGGAATCGTGGTGATTGGGTGAGGCAATGAAAGCAATGGAATTATATTCCAGGCTTTGAGGTAATTGTTAGAGGGAGGTGATGTCATACTGGGGCACACTATAAAGTATGTGTTGTGTACTCATAGAGTAGGACAGCACTGAGCTTTTGAAAATGTATAGCCAGAGGGTCTACAGGGTCTGGGTGATGCCCACTGGCAATGGTGTACTATTCAGCAGAACTAGAAAAGTGTTCTGTGAATGAGCTGACTGTTAGATATTCCATTCCTCCAATCAGAACATTTTCTGAAAATGTAAGTGAGGTCATGAAAAAATAACCACTACGAAGAAATGACTCAAAATAAACACTATAAAGAAATAACCAATGACACACCATGTGTCATTTCTTCAGTGGTTATTTTTACATGGAATAATGTCTTAAAAAAATAACCACTATGAAAAAATGACAAAAGTGTGACAGTTTGTCTTACTTTTGCGATAGCTGCTCAAGTTCCCGGAGAACTTCAATTTTGTTGGTCTTACTTGATTTTGATTTGGTTGCCCATGAGCTGCCCTTCTCCGGAGACATTTTCTAAACATGAAAAAAAAAATGTTTTTATATATTTAAGTGTAATGTTCTGTGCTGCGTAAAAGTGGGCTTATAAAAGCTACATTTTGATACAATAAACATAAGACATAAATTACCGAGCCTTGAAGCAAGTAAAGCTTTGAAAATAATAACTGTCATGTTTAGTTTACGTTTATTTTAACTTCAATCAAATTAAGTTTGATTTGAATAAAATCAGGCTTTTTAAAAAAATAATATCGTTAAAGCTTAGGTTCTATAATGAAACAACAGGTTATTGAGATAGAGAATGATACTACCAAACCATAATGAGACAAGGAATAAAAAAAACAGCTGCATACATGCCAACACTCCCATTTCGGCCGGGAAACTCCCGTTTTGGTGTCCTGACTCCCTGCAATTTTTTTTCTCACATTTTTTTCAAATGTTTTTTCCGGATTACAAAGAAAATGGCATAGGCCTATTTATATATTAATTGGTCTTTTTTGCAATAAAATACTATAAAAAAACCAATAATTTTTACGTTATCTTTAAATATTTTGCTCGGCGAGAGCATCGCCTCTCCGTGAGTGGTGCAGTCTGTCTGAAATCTTTTTTTTAAATGAAGGTCAAATTACGACTGGAATACTTGCAAAAAGAATAGTAACATAGCAGGACCAGACCTTACAATAAATAATTAGACATGAAGTTACAGTAAGTTGCTAAAATACCGGCCCAGTCATTATCTGTATTAATTTAAGCCCGCTGAAAAAGCATTTAATGGCAAGTATTGAATCCAGATTTTGTATCTTGTACTGAAAAGGCCAGCAAATGAGAAATTGATCCAAATAGACATAGGCCTAGCCACTCAAGACAATGTGATTCTATCAAACACACAAGTTAAAATCAATAGTTTTATTATTGGAATATACCAGGGCTTGAGGTCACCAGGTCACCTTTTTTAGTGTCGGGCGATAATTGGGAGCTTTTGATTGCACGACGACGGTAGGACGTAGAACGTAATGACGTCACTAAAAGTCATCTGCGCATGCGAGAACGTTAAGGTCACCTCATCGAGTAGATTCTGGAACGCAATTTGGCCAAATCTACGTATGCACAGAACATAGGGCGCCAGTTAGATTGTCACGCATGAGTAATTGCGTTCTGTCGTCGCACAAATCGAAAGCTCCATAATAAATTTCTTTGGTATCGCTCTGAAAAAGCGATCTTTTTTCGTGAAAAAATCTTTTGGTTTTTTAGCGAAAAGATGGTGGTTGCAACAATGTCTTAATGACTTACAAACATCATTGACCTTCGAGATGACCTCTGTATAATTAATTGTACTTACAGTAGTAGTAGACTTGCCACAAGTCTCTAATTTATTGGTTTTTCATAGAGCGACTAGGTATAAAGACTTTCGAAGCGCGCCACCAACGTCTGCTTATATCGAGAAACTTTTTAGGAATTAGAAATCCCAGAAAAAGTATACTATGGAACGCCATGCAAATAAGCAATATGGAAAATCTATTTATTTTTAAGCATTTTCACTGATTAAGACAAAGCTTAGGGACTGGAACCCAGTCTAAGTAGTAGTATACTATAATGTCATAAATATCAAATTATTAAACCAATGTCATCTTGCTGGTTTTATTGATTTTGTATTTTCAGACTTATTTCAGTATAACTTTGGAACAGTCAGTGGGGGGTGCCAGTGAAGGGGCAGCAGGGACTTAAGTCCCCACCGGACAAGTCAAGTCCTCCATCGGACAGATCTCGTCCGGCAGTCGGACTAAAAAAAAATATTAAAATAGGGCCATGCCAAGCCAATACATGTCTGTCACAGTCTGGGACTGTCATTTCTGGCCATCCAGAGGATCCTATTCTTTAAAAAAATCTCATCTGGGAGGAGGAACCTCCTCTCAAACCCTTCCCCCAACTCAGGCCTACGAGCTCAAGTCCGCTCTGTCGGACAGCTCAGCCACACCCCCAAAAAATATATTCTAGAACCGCCACTGCTTTGGAAGGGCCAGTATCATTTTTTACTTACTGACTGGCCCTGCTGACCACACTAGGCCTAGCCTATACACTATACTATGGTTAATTGGAAGTTAATTTTCAGCCCTGATGAAACACTCATAATAAATTAAATAGCTAAGCTTCCAGCAGAGGGCTGGTTACACACCCTGGATCCCCATGCAATGGAAACATAGCGCCTAGGCTCCCTAGGCTAGGACTGTATGGTCTATGCCTAGGCCCCTACTCTGTAGGCCTACCAGGCCGACGATGCGAGGACTCGGCTCGACTCATCACTAAAGTTAGATCATGTAGGCACAGGCCTTAGGCAGCCTATCAGTATCGGTATAAGATATAAATTATTCAAAATATTTATACACCCAACGAATACTGATTACACCAAATAATAAATAAAACTGCTTGCATTTTAAAATAAGAATTGTTTATGTTTACACTACCTTCGCGGCAGCCGTCATTTTGTTTTAGGCCCAGGAAAACCATAACACTATTGTTAAATCATACATTTCTCACATTTTCTAAATTAATAAATAGAAAATAGGCATAAAATTACCAAACATCAATTGATTATATTTTATTTTATAAAAGGATTGCTTTAAGTATATAAAACAATAATTATACAAAAATATTAATATATTTAAGATATGCTATCCATAGCAACCCTGTAGCAACCACACGCAGTCATTAAAAAGGAGGTCATGTTGAGTGAGGGGCGTCACTAGGCCTAAACAAGGAGGGTGCATATGAATTATCTGTTTTCTGTTTCTAACTAAAATGACTACCCTCAACCCTAGTAGGACTTTTAATAATTCTGATGGCAAATGTTTACTAGAAAACTGGGTAGAGGAAGTAAGTTTCTTTCATTGAATAGGCCTAGATAGGGCTTCTTTAGGCTAGCCTAGCTAGGCCTAGGTAGGAGGAGGAGGAGGGCAGGTAGTAGGCCTAGCCTAGGTTAGGGCCAACTCTACTAACTACTACTTTACTAGGCCTAGGCCTAGTAGTGCTAGCTAGGAGCTGGCCCTAGGCCAGATAAGTTAGGCCAGGAGAGGGGAGGATAGGCCCAGCTAGGTAGGGGATTCATTCATTTTAATAAAGTATTTTTTATTCCATAACCTGTTTATAAATAACTTGTGGGATCCCACAATTGTACGGCACGGTAACTGTGATTTGTGGCAGTGTTGACATGTGGCAGTGTTGACATGTGGCCGAGTCGACATGTGGCCGAGTCGACATGTGGCCGAGTCGACATGTGGCCGAGTCGACATGTGGCCGAGTTGACCGTGATCGTGTTTACTGTGGCTGAGTTGACTTGTGGCCAAGTTGACTATTGGCCGAGTTGACTTGTGGCCGAGTTGACCTGCTTCCCTCAGATATACTAAAGAACTTTAAATACTGGATACATGATACTTGCTTGATGATAGTGGGTCGATAAAAGGCTTGTAGCTTACAAGACCCATCTAACGTCTTGACAAATTCGCTTCTTCATATACATGACGGTTGGGGGATCCAGCAAGCGAAAATGTAGTATTAATGGTCATGTCATGATAGAATAGAGATTAAATTATGAATAAACATTACTCTTATATTTACTGCAATTTATCATAAAATATTTGATTGATTGCTATTTTCTTGGATGATGTAGAGACAATGTCAAGATTTAGGCTATGAAACAATAACTGAAGATGAAAGGCAGTCAACTGCAGCTAGTCATCCTTTTAAAGATGGTCACCCTGGGATACTGTCAATGAAACAAAATGAAACAGAAAAATTAACTACCTGCAAAGATTCTTACAGACAACCTCCAAAACCACAAGTTCGTACAAAAGGTAAAGCTTCATCATTTGCATTGATCTGTTGTTATAATGATAATAATAATTACAGTAGAACCTCGATTTTACGTATGGTACGGGACC